TAGTATCGCAATATTTTGTTTGGTGATATATCGTATCGTCTCATTTACCAAGTATCGATTTTTTCAAATTAATTGCTAATATGAAGTCAAATCTATGATAATGGAAAATAAAATCAACTGTCCATTGAGGTTGGCAGAGGTGACATCATAGAGCAGGAAAAAGTTAGTACAACAAATGTATATATAAGGTTTGTAAGATGCGCTACATGAAAACAAAATACATCGTAAATAAGACAAACATAAAGGAAAGACAATCTGTTTCTGGTTAAAGCAGTGTGTTACCAGCACAGGCATGAAGATATGGACAGAAGTTTGCAGTGCTAGCTCTGCTAGTGTTATTTAGTAGGGCTGGGACGATATGCTTTTCTCCCAATTCGATTGTTCTACAATTTTTTGAATGCCGATTTGATTTACATCGCTATTCTGTGACATTGTTGATTTTCACGATTTTTAGTCGGCATTTTTAACATCAGTGAAACAGTTGAATGAATATGATTGTCTACTGACTATTCTAGGAACCATATTTCCCACAAGAATACACATCACATGTAAGTCAGTTTTTAAGATTTATTCTTAAATTTGGAAAAAAAAAAAAAAAGGATTTTTGAACCAAAAAAAAAATCGATTTAAAAATTTTAAAGCAAAAAATTGCAATACTTAAATAAATCGATTTTTTCTCCCACCCCTATTATTTAGACTCAGCAAACCTATCCAAAACAGATGAAAGATATAAGACAGGATCATAGAGTCTCTGGACAACAAAAGTGAAGCCAGCACCACTCTGCATGTCTTTGCTGATTATGAATTGTTTAGGTTGAGGAGTTACAGGCCAGTTTAACCAGACACATACAAGTTTACCTTCATTTTTGAAAGCCAACTGGGTTCAAAAATAACATCTGTTGCCTGTGCTTGTTCACATCCAGGTAGTAGAGCATGATCGCATCATGGCAGTAGACATTCACAGGAGCTACAACTCAGACACAACTTGACACAAACTACACAAGGCTTTGACATTCATTCTGATGTCTGTGATTTTTTAAACTCAGGTAGTAGAGTAGTATCACAATGTGGCAGTAAGGATAACTTTTCTGGCCTACATATTAAAATATTAATAGTTAGATTAATTGACGAGTAATTCCAGTGCAAATTATCAAGAGTGACAATGATTAACTGTGATTTCTACTAAACATCCACATTACATTACAAATTGATTGTCACAAATACAATATCTTAATTGAATTCAATAGCTGCAAATATTACCACAAAAGAAGAGGAAGAGCACACTGGGCTCCTCTCTACTCTGCTCTGCTGTTTCTCTTTCCCCTCACATACAGCGCAGTAAACAATGTGTCTGCCAGATAAACCGTGTAATGACACTGTTTCCAAATTACCTCAAGCTCACTGACCCAAACAAATACCAATAGACTGGTCCAGCCAACAGAGTACAACAATTTGCCCCTTAAATATACGGGTTAAATTTTATGTCCTGTATCATGTTGTGCGAAATCTCTTCAGATATTTGAATCCGCGCACATGAAGCTTGAAATTTCAACATTTATTGAAAAAATAAGGATAATTCAGTTGCCACACTATCCATAGAAGGAGCAGGTTTTTTTCTGTCACAAGCAGCTAAGAAAACACCACGAGCAATGCATGAAAAGCAGGATACAAGACATTATTCAGCTCTGATCAGAATACAGAAAAGAGCAATCACATTCAGTCAACACGTCTGAGAAACAATGACCTCCACTTTAACTATCAAAAGCCCCAGCCTGCATGAGGGAAAAACAAACTCCCTTAACACTTAGACAGAATCTTTACAATTCACAGCCTCAAGAAGACTAAACCAAACACATCAACAACAACAAATAGACGCATGACATCCAAGGGCAGCTTCACAGATGACGTATAAAAACATTATAATGATGCATTTTTATGTCATTCAAAAGCAGACTAGACCTTCAGGAATAAGACTGATATTTGTAGGTTGTAATTTTAATGACTGAAACTTGTGGGGGTACTATAGCAGCTGTAAAAACAGTTGTAATTACCATTTCTGCATTGAAAAGATTTACATTAAAACGTCTTTTTGAACCCAGGATGCTTCATTTTGTTTGAATCCTCAGCTAATAGCTGAGTGAGTTCATGTCAGTTTCATGTAGAGCAGACTTACTGATTATTCTCAGATAACGATACAGCACCCTCTACCTTTAGCTCCTTGACTTAGGTGGACAGAAACAAGACAATGCAACATGTGTTCAACTGTGAATTTTACAATGCTAATAAAACATGGCAAATCAAATTGATTGGACCTGAAAGGCCACAGGGGAGAGGGAGTGAGACAGAGGCAATTACACTGGTCACAAGGGAGGGGACATACACACACATGCAAACATGCTGCTTTCTAAAGGTCGACGCTTACAGATGAGGCGCTTCAACCAGCGTAAACTGAAACCATGGCATCACGTTGACAGGCAAAGTCATCTATTACCCTTGTTACCCTGCTCTTCGCCTCTGCAGCCCTGGCAGGGTTTCCAGCCCAGGTTCATATGTCCTTGGCTTTCCATCATATCACTGGACACCTGTTTATATATACAGCGTGACCTCTGACCCCACACCCCCTGCTCTCAGAGACAACCTCTCCAGGTTAACAGAGGGGTCACTTTTGTTATTGTGAAAGTGCTGATAAATGGCTAAAAGGTCGGTGCCAAGATGTAAATCAAGTCTGAGCTTGAAGACCATAAAAGGATTAAAAGAATAAACACTCACCTCCATATTTACAACAATGGCAAAAATCAGTGTCTCTTTACCGAAAGAAGTATATTACTTTAATGCAATGTTTTCTAAAGACCACGTTAGATTTAAAACTAGCATGAGGTTTCAATATTTTTTCTGAAGATAACCGGAATACAAAAATAAAAAGTAAATTATTTACAACTCTATCCATATGTAATACTTAAGCAATTACATGATAACAAGAATAAAACAAACAAAATAATAGAATTATTAACATATTCAAAGATTTAAAAAAGCACAGCTGTTTTAACTTACATTCAAATCTCTTCATAATTATAAGGGCAGGTTTACAAAAGATTTAATCTCATAAGTGAAAAATGACTGCTAGCTCTCAAAGTACAAACAGCTCATTTTTCTACGTTGAGCTCTGACTGTAACATTGGGAAATCAGTCTGAGGAAATGAAGCAGTGGAGCTCCAAGAGAAGCCAAAGTGCACTCTGTTTCTCCATGAGTGTGGTGCTCTGAGTTACTCAAACACTAGGCTTTATTCCAACTGCTCTCCAAATTTACAAACAGACCAGCTTGTGCCAAAGTGCGTTCTTTTGAAAGACTTTTATAAAGCCTCAGTTAGTTTTGTTAGTTTCAGGGTCATTGCATCAGACTAAATCACCTGTATGACGTAAACACACCCAAAAAAAGTGACTTCCACCTGGCTTTACCTCAAAGCAGAAGCCCAATTTATCAAGGTGGACTGTACACAACTGACTTTATAGATTATAGGTGAGTTATGGAGGACTGATTTACTTGGCTGGTTATATTTCCTGCTGTGCCACACCGGAAAGCTTGCCTCATATAAAATAATGTCAACTGAATAACGTTATCCTTTCAGAAATTACCATATTGACCCAAATATCAGGCAGGTTTTATTCAGAGTTTAAACCCTGATTGAGTCTGAAGGCTGCAGTAAAATCCACTCGCATTGTGAGACCAGCAGCTCTCTGGTGATAAGCTATGTGTCACTGTAACATTTTTTTTTTTTTTTTTTTGTCTTGTAGAGAAGACAGAAGATCTGCATCTACAAAATTTTGCAGAGTGGAGTTTTTCTTTTGTTAGCCGACCATGCCAAATGAAGGATGCCATCTTTGTTTTGGTCTGTCAACCAATCAGAGGCTGTAACTGTGATCAAATGACCTTAAATGTCCATTAAAAAGGCCAGTGTGGTCATTATACTAATAGTATGAAAAAAGACAAAAGACAGAACCTTTTTGAATGATTGAATGACATTTTCTTCAAATCATGTTTTATTCAACATGCATGTCTATGATCAGACATGCATGTTGACAGAACCTTTTTGAATGATTGAATGACATTTTCTTCAAATCATGTTTTATTCAACATGCATGTCTATGATCAGTTTGACATGTAACTGGATGTTTTACCTATAGATGGTGAAAATCATAAGTGTAGTCCAAGTTATGTCTGCCATTGTCATCTGATGCAGGTGTTACCAAGCCTCACAGAGGTTACCAGATTGAAATGGTGATGCCTCATAACTTTTGATTACTTTTTGTCAGAATTTGTACCTCAAGAAATCAAGTGTAGGCCATCGTTGTTGACACATTTTATATGAGAAGTCCTGACCTTTACTGATTTTGAGATTTGACTGAGGAGGGAAACTAAAAAGCATGGGGATGGCTCTAAAAGTCAAACTTTTTCATATTTCTTTATCTAATTTAAACCTTTGGATGACATTTATCCTGGAAAAATATCTCCAATACATGATTAAAAAGTTGAAGAAAAATATTTGTTTTTCGTCACCTGACACATGGTACCAGCATTTCATCACATATCTGCTGCAGCTCTATGAAAGCTTAGCCTACTTTTTGCACTAAACGCCACAAAAACTAGTTTCAGATAATTTGACAAAAATCTAGTTCGAATGAAGTTAAACACAATGAAACAGTGAAATGAGGGACTAAAGACTGAAAAGCAAAGAAACCAATCATACATTTTGTTGGCACTCTGTTTCAACTACTCTGTGCCTCTTTTGCAACTGTTGACAGTGCTGTGCCGTGTGTGTATACCTGTATATTATGTGTGATTGCATTTATGTCCTTGGACCTGGTGTTTGCTTCGGAATAAACTCTTTCCAACTGAGTCTTTCAGCGGTCCCGGGGCTGCTAATTTCTCTGCTACTAGAGTACATGTGTCTATAACAGTGTGCGCCTCTCTGTGTAGGTGTACAACAGTTATTTGTGTGTCCTTAGGTGCTTAGGTGTGTTTTTTCTCTCCACTCCTCTTTGTCCTTGAATGTAGGGGGGGCCCACTCACATATATGTGTCTGTAATTGAACCTGTTCGAACAGGTACAGTTTGTTGTGTCGGTGCACAACGAAGTGCACAGTCGGGGGATTGAATTGTCTGCAGGCGGCCAGCAGCAGCAGCAACCTCAGATCCAGACCAGAATTATACTTATCGAGCTGAATATTGATCCACACGTCCAAATTGTGCGGCGGCCAAATGGCTGCGCCGCTCTTGCCAAGCTGGCGGAACGAGTCCATTTTTACAGCACTTGACACAAACATGAAAAACATGTGATACACTGTTATGTTCAAGTGATAGATGCTATTATGAGGCTGCTGAAGTGTGACAACCAATAAATGTATCTCACTTTGCTCAAACACTAAAAATCATCTGGTTATTTCTCAGTGTGCTGCAATAACCGGTGTCGCTTATTCTGCCTCTTTTTGCTTTAACCCTAATTAGCTAAAAGGCAACCATGACGTGACTCCAGAGTGTGGTTTGAATTAGTGATTGAATTTATACCCACATCCTCCTTTACATTCAAACAGCACACTCTTAAACATTAATTTACATAATGGTGCAGTCTTGCCTTGTCTTAAAGTGTAGAAGGATGAAAAAAAAAGCAGAAAATCTACAAAAAACAAGAGCCTTCAAATGTTGAAAAGAGTCTAATCCTCACAATAACTCAATCCTGGCTTTGCATTTCCGCTCTGCAACTAAACACAGGAGGGTTGAGTTCTTAGAGCTTAACAGATTAGAGTATTTTAAAGCGGCTTTAAGTCAAAATCACACTGTAATGTATACAACATGCAGGGTGTTTAAAAGGTAAGCTCTCTGGCAGATTTTTGAGGGTCAATGTTTAAGTTTATGCACATGAACTTAAAGTTGTTTTTAAAGTATGATGGGTAAAAAGTCGACAAAGACAGACTCAGACTCCTGTCAGCTGAGTCACGCTGCCCAGTATTCAATTAAACGTCCCCAGTGTGGCCCCTTTAAAAAGTTTCATATCAGTCTAAATTCCTTTCGTATTTTACCTTGCAAGAAGCACACTTACCATAAACACTACACTTAACTCACCTAGATACAACTTTATCTTCATTTTCTATATCAAAATACTGACAAACACGACCACACTCACATCTGCCAGTTGTGACTGTTTACATCCATGTAGTATAGCTCTATGACAGGAGCCATCAACTGGAGTCACAGCCACAGATAGCAGTTAATGGCCTCAATAGACAATTAGCAGAAATTAGCAATTAGCATTAAGACAATTAGCAGAAAGATCTAAGATTTCCACATCTAAATTTTCAGTAGCTAAAAGCACTGTAACAGGGCGTTTACACCAAGCTGAATGAAAAGTATTTACTCACTTCATTTGCGAATCAACGGTAATTTCAACGCTAATCTTAAGTGATAGACAAAGGTTTTTTACAATTTACCAGGTAATCTGACCTCCTCACTGACTTTCCTCCAGACGAGCTTCTTTTTATTCCAGTTTCGGTAATTGAAAGAAAAGGTATCATATAACTCGGGGCACCCAAACACTGACGCAATCAGTTTGTCCTCCATTTTAGATACCAGTGAGCAATTGTCCGTTTTCATACGTCACCCAGCGACCTTTGTGCCGATTAGTTATCGCGGCATGAATAACCCAATAGCCCAATTCTCAACATGTGCAGACAGTAAGGAGGAAGGTGTTTAGCCACACCTCTTCAAATATACAGTAAGTGAAAAGTAAGTGAGATTCTTGGTGTTGAAATAAACATATGGCAAACAGTTTCCATCACACTTCTGTTGAACAGGGTAGACAAACCTACTTTTTCATACAACTTGCAGTGACGTGTGCAAAAACCTAGAAACATGCAGCATTGTACACTGAGTGAAGCATTTCCAGCAATGATGCACATAAAATATATCTCTATAATTGCTTTCAGATAAAAAAGGCTGCTTGGACAAGTTTTCCCTTGAAAAAGAAAAAGAAAAAGAAAAACAACCTCAATTTTGATAGAGGAAACCCAATTTCACCTCATCTTTTATAAGACTCTGGAGATGATGATTGAAAGACAGACTTTCATTCAGGAGAAAACTCAGACTTATATTTTGGGACACATTCAATAAGAATCTGACAATCTTCTCTGTCCTTGAAAAAACATAATGCTTCAAATGCTTCAACATACAAAGATCAATCAGGACAACATTAAAAGGAGCTTGTAGGTCATTAATTTCACTCAAAAGGGAAGAAAAACAACATGTATTTAATCATATTATCAGCAAAAATTTAAAACTCGAATTGGAAATTGAATGGGACCCAAAACAAATCCTTGTGGGACGCCATTTTGTGTATTCATAAAGCTGGAATGCAAACCTTCAAGCTCTTTTTTTTTTAAGTAAGCAGCTTTTATAAATGTTGAGAGGGAGAGGGCGTAGGACACAAATGTTAGTTTTACTGGTGATTCAACAGCTGAAATGTTGAAAAGAGCTTGTGAATTTCAAGATTTAATTTTAAAAAGGCAAAACAAATTTGACCTCTCCTTTTTTTAATTATGTTTATCTCCACTATTTCTACTGCTTCACTCAGGCTGCAGTTACATGTTGAATAAATGAATGTAACCACTGCTAACTGTCCCTGGTCTTTTTTTTAATTCATTTCAGAAGTTCAAAGAAAACCTTTAATTTAGGACTAGTTAAGAATTCAGCAATGACTGTGTACCTTTGCTCCAGCTAATCCAAATGGATACTTGTAAGAACTTCAAAGAGGATGGATTGAATAGTTTAAGTCAGCATTGGATGGAGATTTGATTCAATGCTGTTGAACCCGAGCCTTTAAACCACAGCAGTAAACTCAATGAACCAGGTCAGAACACATAAAGCTTAGTACTCTTGAACGAGTCAGAGATGGCTGCTCCACAGTGCTCAGCCTCTGCTTTCCACCCCTAATCCTGAAACTCCAATCTTCCGACTGAAGCTTTGAGGGAATATCCCCAACAGTTCCCCTCAAACACTCCATCCCTCATTATCCCAAATACTTGATCTTCGTTTCCTCCTCCCTTTTCCTCTACCTCACATCTTGACAGAGAGTAAGTCCGACTGTGGATGCATCATTAAAACATGCCCAGCTATACCATTCAGCCAAATCCCCTGACTTTGTGGGTGGAGAGCAGCTGCACTCAAAAAACACAGAGAACTGCTTCTTTCTTTCATGCAGTCCTGAAGTGGTTACTTCTCTCTGAGGAGGGCCCACTGTATGTTGCATTGAAAGGAGAAGAAAACCATCTACACCTGCTGCACACATGCATATTCACTCCAGAGGCAAGGCTCGAAAAGCCTGAGGGGAGAAGAAACGGTAAGACCTAAGGTGGAGAATAACTTCTTGAAGCCAAAGGCCAATGGCTTCTGGGGGTAGGAGGAAAAATGATTTTCCCTGTTGATTGGACACCATCGAGGGAGGAGGCGAGCTAGGAGAGGAAAGTAGAAGTAAGAATCACCTGTGCCGAGGAAGAAAATAAAAGAAGGTGGGCGATGAGGAGGAGGAAACAAAGGAGAAGGTTACTTTGCAGTCCCATACAAGTCCAGAGAATAATGCACCCTGAGGAGAGCAGCTTTAAAAGATAGTAGTAGACACATCAGAAAGTAAATGTTGCTTCCTTTTTCAAATGCAACTGCAACAACAAATTCACACAGAGATGGAATCAGCTGTGTTGTGGAAATCTGTCTTTTTCAGCTGCAGAATCTGTGCTTCTACGCTTTTATACCCTCCACTATGTAAATTACCACTAGGAAATTGAGTGAAATGTTCCTATCAGCCTGATGTATTTTATGCATAAAGCTAACACAGCTTTCAATCTGCAGCACTGAAACAAAGCCTGAGCCAGAGCTCCTAATGTAAGGCAGAAACTCCCTCCTCACTGACTCATTTTGGAGATTAGAAGTCACCCAACGAGAGATGAACCAAGTCTAAGTTGATCAGACCTTTTAACTCCTGATGTCTTGGAATTTATGCCCCCTAAAATATATATCCAATGTGGGTTCAAGTGGCTGTTATCAGACTACTATAACTACCTCAGGCTTCTGCTTGTAGGGATTTACAGTGACATTCTGCCATAAAGGAGCTCAAGCAGTCCAACACTGATGTCAAGTGCTCGGGTTTGCTCACAACAGCGTTATCCCAAAGGTGCTGGACATTTTTTATGTCAGGGATCTGTGCAGGCTTTGATGTTAGTTTTATGGATTTTGAATCTCTCGAAGTGGACCATAACTGTTGACACAAAGTTGGGAACATGTTTTTGTCTCTTTATTGGAACTAAGGGACCTCAGCCAAACCATGAAAAGAAGCCCCCAGAAACTACAGACACTACACTCTTTTTCATGAGTTTTGATACCTTTCCAACATCAAAGTCATGTGTCCTCTGAGCCTGAAAGGTGGCTCTGAACAGGTTTGTAACCTATTCCTATAGAGGATGGCAATTGTAGCCCAGCAGAAGTCCAAATACCAATTGACTTTGTATTATGGCAGTCAGGGATCAATGAAAAAAAGTTTCACACAAACAAGTCTTTTATATCATCTTATATCACTCATGAGCAATAGTTTTGACAAAATAGATTCAGCATCAGGGCAATGTCCAGAGGGGTGACCCAGAGTGGCTCAAACCCCCTTAAAGGGTGATACCAATGGCCTGCCAACTACTATATATCGACCTTGATAGCAGGTCAAAGCTGATTAACCCTATTCCACCAAACGATCAAGCTGATTAATGGCATTGTGAAATAATCAGCATGGGCCAATATCTTGGCTCACAAGGCCAATTTAAAACACAAACCAATTATGTCTGCGGACACTGCAGGCAGTCTTGTTTATGTAGCTGCAGTCAAGCAATACCAACGTCCCTCTAAATGACGAAACATCTAATGACAGAAGATCAAATCATAGTTATCATGAATTAATTTAAGAATTCACTTGAAACATGTTTCATGTGGATTAATGGCTGTAATCATTATAAATTTTTATATTTCATTAAAAACAACAACAAAAACATTAGCAACGTGATATTGACATTAAATATCAGTCATTGGCTGACCTGCTCTGTAAATATTGACTGTTTTTTAACCCACAGTGGTTGACCACTATTATTTAATCTAAAACACTGATAGCAGAGCCCCTCACTGTTGATTATTACTCACAAGAAGGGACAAAAAAAGTTGTTGGTTGTAATATATTTTTCACACGTAAACAGCAGAGAATAGGAAAATGTTGAAG